AATATATGTAATCAAGATACAATATTCTGAAGTAAAAAAAAGTAATATTTGTAAAAGTTATTTATAGTCGTCATTTCATCGTATATTCTAGGACCTTGGGGAAACACTGGCTTATAGGCTACACGGGCCAGGGTAGAGCGAGCTCCTTTATTACATTACTATTAGACTATTATTATTACTTTTTTTTTTAACAAATGAAATATGTAAAATGTTTTATTAACAAGAAGTAGTCTTAAACAATTTTATTACTCACCTGGCTCTGTTATATATAACAGAGGAAAAGTGTGGCAATCGTTAATAAATTACAAAGTGGTTAATTATACATACAGTACGTATACTCAATTGGCTATTTAACTCTTTTAAAGCAATGACATAAAGATGACAGTTTTAATGTTATTTATAATTTAGGATATCGTAAATTTCGATTATTGATATCCTAATTATGATATCGATTATTGAGAAATGAGAATTAAAAATAATGGCACTGAGGAAAATCTTGATAGCAAAATATCAAAATTTTATAATACATCGGTGGAAACATGTTCTTGTTCATTTTGGAATTCTTTTAGTGCACCATGTCGTCATATTCTTATGATAAGAAAATATAAGAATTTGGATATATTTTCAAAAATTGCTTTCATGCAAGATATATTATTTCAATTGAAAATGCACTAAGTATGGATACAGATGATGTAAATGTAGACATCGATGATTATATTGAAGATGAAACTTTTACTGATTGATTTTGATTGTCCCAACAAAAAATTCTGGGATGTTTTCTGTGGGCACAATTTTGTTCACCTTCTTTGAAGCTTAATAACTTCTGTGCTTTTTGTCGAAAATTTCTGAAGGTTTGCAGGGAGGTTTGTGTATTAGGGGCATTGATGTTATTAATTTTTGGTGGTTAAAGGCCAAGGGGGTAGAGGAGATAAAGAAGTCGAGTGGTCGTATCTCGAGTAGGATCTGATTTAATGATAATTTTCCGCGTTGTTAGACATTTACACGCAGTTTTAAATGTCGCCGGGAAAGTTAAGTAACTCGTTGCTGGATTTTTTTTTTGGCTGCAATTTGAAAAAATTGTAGACCTATAAATTCCACATGTCTGTCAGTCCTTCCTTAATCTCGAGAACGGAGTTATACAAAAAGACGAGACCAGATATGGAAAACCTTAAGGGCAGGAGGCATCGATTAACTGTATATGAACTTCCGATATAAACTGGAAGTCACTTTATTGCAATTCAAAAAATTTCCCCCAGAAAGATGTTAGATAGATCGGCATGACTCTATCGTTCAAGGAAAAGTATGATGTACTGTACTGTACACTACAGTATTAATTTGAGGTGAAGAGCATATATTTTAAATTAAAAAAATTAAAAATATGATTAATAAAAATTGCAGCCCGGCATTGTGTCGATGTCACAATAAATAATTGCTCGTTATTAGTAAAAATAACATAAATTTTTAGGAATCGAAACCATTACGACCCGCAAATTGTATCCGGAGGCAAATCCCAGCCTCTCCTCTCGAAGGACTTCCTAGTAACAATCGAAAGATATAAGTATAGACGTTTATCGTCTACAAATAGAAAAATATTACTCCCTTAACTGCTCTTTATAAGGCGAAGGATGTAAGATGTGTAATTATTAAGCACCCCATTAACGTCTAAAATCCTGTTGGGTAGAAATAGCCAAAAGCTTAAGTTTTACACAAGTTGTAGCATATAAATTTTTGTCCATAAAATTTGTTGTTACATATTTATACTTAACATACTGAATTTTTGCTAAGAGTGTGCTAATTAGTTAAAAATTGCTTTATTTGTTTTACTGAAAACAATTTTATTTTTTCATTAGAATTATATTGTTAATTTAGTACTTTATACGGAAATATGAAACTTTGCAGTACAGTATAATATTTAACCACAAAATACTATTAAATTCAGGTAACTAAAAATATCTAATACTAGCAGATGAGCTAGGCGTTGCTCGGGCAAAAAGTAACAATAGCGAAGATTAAGATTATTAGATTATAGCCGATCTTACCCGTTTTCACCGGGTGCAAGAATTAGGTTCACTTTCTTTCGAGACTAATTAGAGAATTTTTGGATGGGTCTAAATATATGTTCGATTTCCCACAGAAATGCAAAAAATCGCATCTAAAATAGTACAGCAGAATCCGAGTTCGGGGTAATCCTTAACATCATCAACCCATCTCGATTATATAATAAAATGAAACGTTTTCAGCCTAATTTGTCTTCAGCATTGAATGCACGAACGGAATAGAAAAAGTATTTTTAAAACAGTTTCGTACTGTTTTTACTTTAATACATTTGGTCGTAACACTTGAAGATAAAGCATCATCGCCATGAGTTCATGATCACGAATAGAAATAAAAAATATTGCAGCTGTAGAGCGATATATCGAATTATAAATGTAAGTTTATCTGAATGGCATCTGGAATCTAATTAATCGAAATGGAAAACATATTCAATAAGTTGATCATTATCACTTGCTGCCATTTGAAATCTCAGACTAGCACTTTCGATTGTTGACTGCAATATCTCTGATTTGAATCCATGCTAAATATTTTAAGTGCCAGCTAAAAATTATTTCTAGGCGTATCTTTTTAACACAGTTTGCTATGGATGGAGGGACACATCTTGCATGAAGACTGCTGATTCAAGACATTGACATTGGAGTGCTGAAATCACGGTATTGGTCAATAACGATGCATATAGCTGATTTGCTGCCCGGTAAAGGAACATAATGGGACCTGAGGGCTTGAGTTCCTCTTACCACACTGGGCCAATAGTAAACAATTAAGAAAACCTGCACAAACTTACTTTTGGGGAGTGTAAAGGAATTGCATTGCCCGATACATGGGTTTTCCCTGGCCCAAACTCGACAATTATGCATGCTAACAGTACCATGTATAGTAGATGGAAATGTGCCTTATTTGTGCACAAAAATTTCTGGTGGTATTTTTTTAATTACTTTTTTTGTGACTTTCCTTTCCGGAGCCTCATTAATACGTACTGAAATTTTCTTACAATTCCATTGAGCAGTTTTCCTGCAGACTGCTTGGAATACGTAAACTTGGTAATGTAGATAATTAATGTAGATAATTGTCTTCTTTCGAATTAATATTTAAAATAAACTTTCAGATATTAGCAGCCACGTTGAAGCAGCGTTAAAATCACTATCAAAGGGATGTTATTTGTATAAAGTAAGAAGCGCAAAGCATTTCTATCGTCGAAGATACTACCTTGATTTTCAGAATTTATGTTTAAAATATCAGTCGAAGAGGAGAAAATTTTGTAATCGTCCACCTCTTTTTGGTAAGTTCTTATGGATATTAATTTAATTTTCCATTGTTAAATTTGCTTATATTTTTGTAGTCGACCTCTACACCATTGAAGAAATTAGAACGGGATGGAACACCGATATATTCAATCAGGTGCAAGCTATGGTAAGAACAAACAGGAAGATTCCAATATTTGTGGATGAGGATCGTTGCTTTTCGTTAGTGATCAATTCCACTCACGAAACATTGGATCTTGTCGCACCAAATAAAGAAATCAAAGAATTATGGATCGAGGGATTGAAGCATATTTTGGCAATGTGTCAAAATTTACATCGTGAAGAAGAATATGACAGGTAGGTTATTGTTTATACAGGAATCAACGTTATGTATTGGTCAGGTTTTGTGCATATTGACTTGTCTACCATTTTATGAAAGTATGGACTGACTAGTGTACTGCTGTGAAGCAACTCGTAACAACTATTAAACTGTGATTTAATATTTTTATAAATTGTCACACAATCTAATACTGTAATTCCAAAATTTCAATACAAATTGCCTTTCCAAAATTAAAAACTAAGATGTAGCGTATATGATTATTTACTCTTGTGGCCGCCAGCGCCAGAGATCCTGAACACTGTCTGGCAACACTTGCCAAGATCACGAACTCTGTCTGGCAACACTTGCCAACAAGAGTGGCTGGCAACGTCAAAAAAGAAAAGGCGCGAAAGTTCGTTGGATTTTGTCCGGGTGTTGCCCGAGGATGTCTGTGACAGTTCTAACCTTTTCTAATAAAGTTCTTTTTTGTTACTGTTCGTGTTTGCCTGCTTAATGTTAGATCTAAACATCAGTAGGATTGAATGACAAAG